TGCTTACTACAGCCCAGGTTATGATACCTGTGCTATGGAATCAGTCTGGCATCCGTCAACAGAGGAGCAGAGAAAATATCCGGCCCCCAGCCCCGTCCTGTGGCTCCGTCCTGGCTGCCATGGGCTGAGCAGCTCTGCTTCCTCACAGCCTTCCACCACGATGCTCCCACCTTGGACCAAAATAGACATGGACAGAAGCCTCTGAAATCATAAGCCAGGTTAAACCTTTTTGCTCTTTAAGTTATCTATGTCAGGTATTTTTTTCCAAGCAATAGAAAAGCTAACTAAAAAAAAATTATTAGAGAAGAGGAAGGAGACAGGCGACAGGGACAGAGAAAGAAAGGATGTGACAGGAAGATGAAGATTATCAAAGCAGGTCACATGCATGTCCAAATCTGCCAAAATGACCCCCACTCATCTAATGACCCCTAAGCAGCACGCGCTTCTTTCGTGGAATGAAGTGGAGGCAATTATTCCAACTGAAATGCAAATATAAATGTGCATACGCGCATTCTAAAAACTCAACAGAAGCCGAGTATGGTGGTACCTGTCTGGAATCTCGGCACTCGGGGAGGCTGAGGCAGGAGGAACACGAGTCCAAGCCCCGCCTGGCAATTCAGCAATGCAGACCCCTCAAAATAAAGAAGCAGTAGTGGGGGACCAGCTCAGGGCAGAGGCTCTGTGTGGGATCCCCCTTCCGCCAAAAAAAGTCAACAGAAACAAAAAGCAAACAATAAAAAGGAGAAGATACTGTGGCACACGAGGCAGAGCATCACCATCTGTAACACGGAGCTCACCCTGGTCCCTAATAAAGACCAGCTCCCGGCAGGAAAGCAGCCTAGCCTACGAACAGGAGAACCACAGATGCGAAAACACAGAAGCCAGGCACGCCTGAGAACATTCACACTCCTGCTGGAGAAAGGTGAACTGAAATCACAATGGAATATTATTTTTGTACATTAAAAGGGCAAGATTTTAAAAGACGATCTTCTGTGGTGAACACTGGGAAATAAACAGCGAACACCCACCTACGAAGCGCTATGGGAATGTGTGCGTGCAGCTTCCCGGCGGGCATCTGACAACAGCAGCCCTGAGAACAAGAATGGCTCGGCCCGGAGGCCCCTCTCCCTGTCTCCTCTGGACTGTCAGAGGCTGGCTGGAGCCGCGGAGCAGGGGTGGCTGACGGGCCACTGATTACCCTCGGTCAGGAACCGCTGCTCAGCCACCCTCTCTTGGTTCCCTTCAGAGCACACTTGAGCTCTGGGCAGACAGGAGGCCATCGCAGATAAAGTCTATGGCTTCCGGAGCTGACAATGAATGCACAGGACCGGGGGTCACATGCATGCGTGTCCAGGGTAGCTTCTGGCCAGGATGTTTCAGGGATGTCCCCTCTGAATCCCCCCACTGCTCAGCTGTCCCCCGGTCCCTGTCGATGGCTTGTGTCTGGTGTCTGCCTTGGGAACCTTCCTCTCTGACTGTGAGCTCCCCCAGGCCCTCATCCCGTCCACCTCTTTATTCCCAGACCCCGCACCCCCACACTGATCATGAACTACAGGTCCAAGGGGGCCTTGAACAGAAGAATGGATACGCGGTGGGAGACAGGAATGAACTAACAGGCATAGATTGGGGATGACAATGTCAAATCTATTGCTTTTAAAACTGAGTGAAAATTCCAAATACAAGTTCAATATTTATGCTCACACAAAACCCAGTATGCAGACATTTATAGCAGCTTTATTTATAAATACCAAAACACAGAAACTACCAAAATGTCCTTTAAATAGTAAATAGATAAACAAACTGGCAGAGTATAAGGTAGAATATCATTTGGCAATAAAATAAACGCATACAACAGTGAGGAAAAGATAGTTTCTTCAACAAGACACAGGAACACTGGCTGGCCAGGTGTAGAAGAGTGAATTCCCAACCTTGATCTCATAGCCGTTACAAATTAACTCAGAATGGGTCACAGAACTAAACATAAAACTTAAAATTAGAAAACTAGAAGACAATGGGAAAATCTAGGTGCAATCCATGATAGAATGAATTTTAATTTCATTAAAATTAAAAGTTTCTGCCAGGTGTGATGGCACACAGGCATAAGTCCAGCACTTGGCAGGCAGAGGCAGGAGGATCACTGCAAGTTCAAGACCAGCCTGTACTACATGGCAAGACCTTGTCTCAAAAAACAAAACAAAAAACACCTACAGTATAAATTTCTACTCTGCAAAACCATGTTAAGAGAATGAAAACACAATCACACAGGGAGGAAATACTTGCAAAACATCACCTGAAAAAGAATATTATCACAAATATGAAAAAAGAATCCTCAACAACGAGATATCAAACAACCTAAAGAAGAAATGGGCAAAGACCTTAGTGAACATCTCATCAAAGGAGACTCACAGATGGCAAATAACCATAAACAAACGCTCGGCACCAGGTCTCACGAGGGAAATGCACGTTACACTGTGTGACACTACTGCACGCCTGTCAGAATGGCCAAAGTCCAGAACCTGACCACGCCAAGTGCCAGAGAGGGCCTGGGACAACAGGAGCCCTCCACCCTCCCTGGAGGAAATGCGGTCAGCACTGTGTGGCCACTTCCGAAGAGAGCTTGACAGATGCATGCAAACCAAACACTCCCATATCGTGGCGTCCAGCAGGCGAGCTCCTCAGGGTTGCCCAGAGGAGCCGAAAACTCAGGTCCACACTGAAGCCCACACACGGGCGTCTGCGGCAGCTTCACTGTAAGCTGCAGTCACAATTGTTAAAGTTGGAGCAGCCAAGGAATTTGACCATTGGCGAATGAATGAATGAATGGGCGTGTCCAGAGAGTGGACTATCACCGAGTGCTGGACAGAAACCATTCAGCTCAGCAGCTCAAGCCTGGTAAGCGTGAGGTCATGTGTTCAATCCCCGGTACCAAAAAAAAAAATTTACAGATAGACCGAAACGAGCTATCAAGTCACAAAAGACATGGGGACCTCAAATGCAGACGGCCGTTCTCAGGAAAGGAGACTTAACCGGAAACTACTCAGCCTTGAAACCTAGAGATCAAACATGCCAGCCCCAGTCAGTCGTCTTTGCTTACAGAGTGGCCATGGAGCAAGAGAACAGTGAGGCACCCTCCTCTGCGTGACAACAGCCAGCTAGGGCTTATTTTCGGTGAGGTCTTATTTTGGGGGAAGCACAAGCCTTAAATGGAAGGGCACTCTGGGAAGGTGCTCGCAGGAAGAGCAGCGGCAGGCCCCTCTGGGAAGACAGTGCTTTGGAGACGGCGGGGGCACCAGTGGTGGTCGGGGCGAGTGGGGAGGGGAGGATGGACAGGTGGAGAGCGCGCTGACACTGGTGTGCTCTGTGTGACACCCTAGCGGGCACCCGCGTCTTCCCATTTATTTGTTCCAACCCGTCGAGCAGGCAGCAGCACAGGCCAATCCTGGTGGAAGCTTCGGGCTTGGATACCCCCGATGCGTGGGCTTCAGCACCCCCAGCTCGTGGGTCCTAATAAACACACTGCACACAAGCGAGACCCTAATACAGGGAAGCCCCAGGGGAGGGAAGAGGGGGGCTTCGTATACTTTCTGTTCAGTCTCTCTGCAGCCTAAAACTCACCAAAAATACAAAGTCTACTAACTTTTTTAACTGAATGACTCAGGACCCTCTCTGACACAGCAGTTAAGTCCATGAATCCCAAAATCACAGTGCCTGGGTTCAAATCCTGACCCATCCACTTCTTTATTTTTTACACATGTGCAGTGTCTAATGACGACACTGGGCAGTTGCTGCGTGCCCGCGAATAGCTCAGTTCATTCCCGTCAGCCCCAAACCCTACTCTACCGCCCCCCACTCCCGCTCCCCTTCCCGTGTGCCAAAGCTCTATGCATTGGGCTTCTTTCGTTTGTACCAGGAACCAAATCCATCACCTTGCACTTGCCAGGCAGGCCCCTGCCACTGGGCTCTACCCGGCCCTCTATTTTCGCTGTTTTACCCTGCTTCTGACTCCGTCCTCTCCCCTCCCTCTGCCTCACTCTGTCTGTTTCTAACACGTGCCTTTGAAAAAGGTGTCCTACTCCCTAGATCTCTGTTTTCTATTTGAATATGTATCTATATATAAACATAGACAGGGTAGACACAGAGAGGAGAAGTTTCTCATGGAAGAGAAATCACACACCATTTATATTTGCGTTTCTGATTTATTTCATTTTAACATTCTGGTCTCTTGCGGCTGGGGATTTAGCTCAGCGGCATAAGCACCTGCCTGGCAAGCATGAGGTCGTGAGTTCAATCCCAGGTACAAAACAAAACCATTCTGGTCTCAAGTTGTGCGCACTTATGTATTAATGCTTCAAGTTTACATTTTTCTAGCAGAGTAGTGCTCCACCGTGTGTAAATACCACGTTTTCTTTACCCCTGGTCTGGTGATTAGCATACAGGTCATTTACAAGCTATTATAAATTCATGTGTGCACGCGTCCTGTCCTACGATGGCTGAACTCTTTCAGGGAGGCACCTCCAAGGGAAATCGCTGGGTTGAACGGAATTTCTAGTTTTAGTTCTTTGAGGACCCGCCACCCTGACTTCCACTGTGGTTTACATAGTTTATACTCCCGCCACCCAGGTAGAGTTTCCTTTGGCCCTACATTCTCATCCGCATTCGTGTTATCTGATTTCTTGATAATAGCCATTCTTTCTGGAGTAAGATGGTATCTTTGTTTTATTAATTCGCATTTCTCTAATGGCCAGTAATGGGAACATCTTCCATGTATTTACTAGCCATTTGTACTTGTCCTTCTGAGAAGTGTCTGTTCATTTCAGCTGCCCATTGTGGAATTGCCTGACCTGTCCGCTCTAGAACCCCTGGGTCCCAACTCCTCCATATAGAATATAGGAATAAGAATGCAGTTATTAGGAGGATTGACCATCACAAAGACCCTGGTATGTGTTAAATATAGACAGTGGTATCCACGGCTGTGGTTGTGTGCGCCACGGAATACTCACGTGAAGAGGAAGGTCTGAGCATACTCTGGACACTGTTCTTCGGACAGACGCTAGATGGGGAGGAATGGGGTCTCGAACACTGGGCTTTCCGGGTGGGCACGTACAAAGTGTGCCAATCTGGTACAGTCATCATTTTGTTCATTAAAGTCCTGTGACATAAAAGAGAACGAATCACCTTAAAGCACACATGACACATGTGGCCGACTCCCACCACCCCCTTTCTTAAAGCACAACTTCGAGGGTAAAAGCACTTTGAGTCATAGTCTGTTGGCCATGGTCCCAAAGACCATTCTTAATGTGCACACAAAGTTGTGATTTTGGACTCCTTGTTTTTAGCACATCCAATAAAGCTCAAAATTGAGGAAACGCAATACACTAGATGCTCTTAGATCCGGGAAAAATAAGTCGTGTGCCAACAGCTGCCTGTTTCTTTTTGTAACAATCTCTTCTGTAGCATTTACTCATGAAAAACAGCCAAAGTCTCACAGCTCATTAACCTGCCCCATTCCCACGCAGAGGAGAGCCACGGGCAAAACTGTCAGCAGCCTGACAGTCCCAGGAGGGGACGCGACAGGGTTGGGGCCTCCTCAAACCCTACTGCCAGAAAAGCATCATGATCTGACCCCATGGTTCATGAAAGACCCATCGGGAGGCCCTTTCAGGGAACAGGATCAGGGATAGCAGCCTAAGGCAGAGGCAACTACCGTCTAAAATCCCAGCTGCCTGAACAGTGGACAGTGGGACCCGCATAAACAGAAGGCTTAAAAAGAAAAGCTGCGGGGTGAGCTGCCCACCTCGGCTTTGGAAAAGCTCCCGCGAGTTCCTGGGAACCTGGAAGGCGCCCACATGCACAGGGCCGAGGCTTTCCGGGGGCTCCCCACACACTCGGGAAAGACCCGAGAAGGCACCAGCTCTCCTCCTGCCGCCCTGATGGCCACACCGGCAGGCAGTGTAGGTGAAGGCAGAGCTGTCAAGGGGGCAACACAAACGGAGAACTTGGCAGAATTTGGGAAACACGCTCTTCCCAGGCATTTAAAGGGTGCCCCGCCGTGAGCTGACCGGCAGGCTCACCAGCCAGAGGCTTCGTGGCCACACGCAACGAAGAACACAGACTTGGAAAAGTTAACTTTGGGAAATCACCAAACAGATGAACGACGAACAGCAAAAACACGGAAGAGTGAGAACACGGCCTCAGTGACCACCACGTTGTCTAAAATGTCAAGTTTTCAACACAAAATCACTAGACATGCAAAGAAGCAAAGCATGGCCCATAAACACACAACTCTAGGAACTAGGGGAGCAATGAAAGAGTGCGGCAAGACGTTTTTAAAGTGGCAAAAGAAAAAGCCCACCAACCCAGAATCTGTAGCAAGAAAATCTATCCTTGAAATGTGAAGGAGAAATCGAAGTTTTCTTGGTCAAGTCCCCAGAAGACCTGCTTCCCCCCGCCCCAAAAATATTAAAAAATATTAAAATAAATTTGTTAGAAAGAAGGGAAAGTACTCAGTCCTGTGCAAAGAAAGGAAGGGACTCAGAGAAAGGATGAGGGAAGGGAGGTGAGCACACTCTGAGGGCGGAGCCCACACACACTCCTAAAGTGAAAGCAGAAACAGACGCTTCGGCATTAGTGGTTGGAAATTTTGATATTCACGCTTAACAACAGACACGTAAAGGTCACACCCACCCAGCAGGATCACATGTTCTTCTCACACGCGGGGCCACCCTTCAGGCCGCGTGCGTCAGGACTCAAACCAAGGGACACACATCATCACAGCATGGTCTCAGACCACAGTGGAGTGGAATCAGAGTTACCAACAGAAGAAATTATGTGGGAATTAAACAACACACTCCTAAATAACCAATGGCCTAAAGACAAAATAATTAGCAAATACCTTTTTGTTTTCTTGAGGCAGGGTCTCACCGTACATCCCACAACTCAAGATCCTCCTGCCTCAGCCTCCTGTTAGGATGACAGGTGTGTACCATGACACCCAGTTCAGCAAATACTTTTAGATGAAAAGGAAAGCACGGCATATTAAAACTTACAGGATGCAACTAAAGCAACGTTTATGCTGAAATTTATAGATGTGTATATCTACATTTTAAAAGAATAGACTAAGCTTCTTTAAGAAACTACAAAATTAAAAGTAAACTAAGTCCAACATGAGGAGAATGAAAGAAATATTAGAACACAAATAAAATTGAGAATAGAAAAATAATATGGAAAACCGCAAAACAAAATATTAGCAAAATTGACACATTTTTAGCTAGACTGGACAAGAAAAATGAGAACACAAAGTATACAGAAATGAGAATATTTTAGATATTGCAGAAATCAGGAAGATTATAAGGGAATTCTATAAATATTTATATACGGACAACTTAAGTCACTCAGATAAAATGGAAAAATTCTTACAAAGACACAGTTATTTAAAGTGACTAAAGAAGAAACAGTCTGGATAGAAGTAGGAAAAATAGAGATTGAGTAAGAAAAAATTCCAGGATGAGTTGGGCGCACTAGAGTATTCCACCAAATGTTTCAGCAATAATTAAAACCAATCACTACAAACCCTCTCATGAAATAGAAGAGGATGATGGGGGCAGAGCTCGATAAAAAAGTGTTTGCCACGCACACACACGCACACACGCACGTACGCACACACGCAACGCATGCACGTACGCACACACGCACGTACGCACGCAGCTACGCAGAAAAAAGTGGGGAATGAATGGGCGGCACTTCCCAACAGGTATTTTCCCAAAGAGGCCAGTAATAATCAGTATTACTCTGATTCCAAAACCAGACAGTGGTATTATCAGAAATGAAAACCCAAAACCAACACACTATATGATATAAGGAAATTTTCCAACAAAATGCTAGTCAACTGAATTCAGCAACATACTAAAAAATACAGAGCGTGACCAACAATGCAAAGGTGATAGAATATACAAAAAGCAGTCGGTATAACATTTCTTACTAGCAGAATTGGCGAAAAAATAAAACGCCATAGGATTATCTCAGTCAATGCAGAGAAGGTGTTTCCCAAGTCTTAGAGCCTTTTATGGTAAAACAGCAACACTCAACCAAGTAGAAATATGACGGTATTTCCTTGATCTAATAAAACACATCCAGGGAGAATCCACAGGTGACAGACACCACACTGAACGATGAGAGACCCAAAGTGTCGCCCGGAGGAACCAAGAGAGCAGTCTCTGCAGCAGTGCAGGTGGTACGCGCCTGTGCCAGGTGTGCTAGCACCCTGGGAGGCTGAGGCAGAAGCGTTAAAAGCTTGCATCCAGCCTGGATGCCTTAGAGACAGCCTGTCTCAAAATAATTAAAAAAGCTGGAGATGCAGCTCCGTTGAAGGCCGTGGGTTCAATCTCCAGTATAGCAAGCAAGAAAGAAAGAATAGGAGCTCTTAGACCACTTCAGTTCAGCGCTGTACTGAAGGTTCCAGCCAGGACAATTAGAAAAGAAAAAAGAAAACAAATCTGCATTGAAATCTAAGAAGTAAAACGATCTCTACTTGTAAGCAATACTATTATACACACAGGAAATCCTAAGGGATCCACACACATGCAATTAGAATAATAAACAGGTCTCGTGATGCTTCAGGATCAAGATCAATATGGAAAATCAACTGTATTTATTTTTTGTTTCTTTTTGAGACAGGGTCTCGCTGTGCAGTTCAGGCTGGCCTTGAGCTCACTTTGTAGCCCAGGCTGGTCTGAACATGGAATAATCATCCTGCCTCAGCTTCCTGAGTGCTGGGACTACAGGTGTGCACCACCACACCTGGTGACGAAATCAACTGTATTTATAAACACCTACAGTGAACAGTCAGAAAGTAAAATTAAGAGAGCAAGTTCATTGACGTAATCATCAAAAATAATAAAACACGGGGATAGAGTTAACAAAGGAAAAACAGGCTCTGTATACTGAAAACCACACATTGTTGCAGAAAAACAAGACCTGAATGAATGGAAAACTATCTCACATCGATGGTTAGGATGGCAGGATGGCACCGTTCCCCAGACCGCTGCCTTTCTTGTAGAAACTGACATGGTGATTACACGACTCAAAGAACTCAGAAGAGCCAAAAGATCTTGGAAAACAAGAAGAAAGTTGGAGGACTTTTACTTTCCGGATTCAGAACTTACTACAAAGCAATGGTAATCAACACAGTGTGGCACTGACATAGGGCAGACAGAGATGAATGAACCAGAATTGAGAGTCTAGATATGAATGCTTACGTTTACCACAGGTTGATATTTGACAAGAATGCTAAGACTGGGGCAGAGGGTTTAGCTCAGCAGCACAAGTGCCTGCCTGGCAAGTGCGAGGTCACGAGTTTGATCCCTGGTACCAAAAAGAAAACAATGCTAAGACCATTTCTTAATAGATGGTTCTGGGACAGCCGGCTATGCAAGGGCTAGTAGCAAACTACAGAATGTGTTTAAATGTTTTAAAAAATTGTCACAGCAAAAGACACATTGTCATTCATCCCCCCGAGTGTCCTCCCCTCATTTCAAACACACTCACCCCACCATTCTCGCCGCTCGGAAGCAGGTCCGGAAGTGGTCTTTCCCGAGGGTCCCTCTGAGGTCTGACCACGAATGCTGTGGGTGCTACTGCCGGCGCTGCCCAGCAGAGAAGCAGCTCAGAGAAGTGTGTCCTCACCCGCCTCACTCAGCAGGTCCAGCCCCAAGGTCAACACAGTGGATCCATTCGGACCTCAAGGCAGTGGTGATGGTGCCACCAGCCACACTCACAGCAAAGGGCTTCCCCAAGCGGCCAGGACGACGGGACACAGGTGCTGGATCTAGGGGCAGTGTTTGGAGCGGGACTGATGACAATGTGTCTCTCACTGTAATTAATTTTTAGGATAGAATTTTTTAAATGCACTGTTTTTGATCACACCTCCTACGTGGGGGTAGGTACTTTATAAAGGAAGAGCTTGTGGCTTTAGCTCGTGGTTTTGGGGGCTGAAAGTCCACGCGCTCAGTCTCAGGTGAGGCACCTGGCTGACGCCATGGGGGTCATGAAAGGAGATCAGAGCCAGTGACCAGGCAGCAAGACAGCGCGCTCTGGCTTTCTTATTACAAGTCAGCTCCCTCCAGAATCATGGGGGCCAAGAGAGCTGTGCCA